AAATGGGATTTTCATCGCTTTTGCATATAAAATCTAAAGCGAGAAATCGCTTAAATGCAAGTAATGACTTACGCGTATGTCTTTCAAAAAAGGAACCTCGTTTCGCCAGTATAATAATGAACAAACCACAAGAGACTAGTCATTAATCAAAATAATATTGTTTTGTATTTATATAAAATGTACAATGTTTTTCAGCAAATAATAAGTTTTGCAAAAAATGTATTTTTCTAGATTAAAAAAATTAAAACACATTTTTCAATGGGGTGCGGGAGATATATTTTCAGATTCAATGGGGTGCGACTTGCTAGAAAGGTTTAAGAAACACTGGACTAAATGATTCACATATTTCCAAGTCAGCAGGTAGCAACTGCTCTACATGAATTATCTTGAACAGATCTGCACAGAATGTTCCATAGGACTTTACATAGTCTGCTGATAGACATATCTGATACTCAGACAATTCCTCTTGCACTGCTTATTCCTGCATCACTGTTTGTCAGTTGTGTAACTGACATTGACTCCGCATCATTGTTGTAATGCTGTGGCCATATCTTTCACTGCTGCCACCAAAACTGGTTTTCATTTTCTACGTTGTTTCATGTTAAATTCTACTGGTCTCTTCAAATTTATGTATCATTTTATGCAGAGCATATGTGGTCTCTGGGTTGGATTTTACGCCTTTTAATGTCTGGAACTTCCTGATAGCTGTTAACATGCAGTCACCATTCTGATAAAAATGCTTCATGAGCAGAGTGCAATCCTTCTTTGTCAGAGTCATGATTAAGCACTCAGGCAAAGCGTTGGGTGTCCTGTAGTGTTCTGCATTTTTATCAGAGGTATGTCTACGGTACACATTGTCATGTCTTAGTAATCTAGTAATCTGCATACCTCCACAACAGCAATGTAAATTCTGACAGCGTCATTCATTGACACATTTTGGAACTATTTTTTTCCCCTCAGCCAAACAAAATTTCATCAACTCTTGATTGTTCTGGTTAAATATCAAGTCATTATGACCAGTAGTTTTGAAATCACAACTTCATTATAATAACCAGACTGCTGGCCACCGTAAATGCAACACCCTGAAGAAAGCATGCAAATAACATGAATTTTACAACATGCATTAGCAGAGGTGAGATATGCAAATGATTAGAATTTTGGCGCAGATGCAAATCACGCGCGCCTGTGGTGCCACTTCAAAGCGCTATTTAAGGCTTGGAGTTTTCGACAATTTCAAGTTCAGCAATTTTGTTTTTCTTGTGGTTTTTCAAAAAAAAGGGGGGATCAATTATGCCTTGTAGTAAACAGCGATCACCGTTTGATCAAGTATCCGAGTTCGGCAGAGTAAGGACCGAGAGTGTGGATTATCTTTCAGGGAAATCGGTAGTCGTGTTGGATGAAACCAAACAACTGTAATGGGGATATGTGACCATTGGATGCAGGAGGGTACGACGGACTGACGTGTTCGATCGCATCCACCTCAGTGCACCACTTCACGTTATGACGGGAACATTGTACGCATGGCAGTGACGGATCGCTCAGTCACGTCACGAACCATAGCACATTCAGTCTGTAACGCATCATCCAGTGTCTGCTGGTACCATTTGACGCCATTTACAGCAGAGTGGTCTGTCCACAAGATGTGCACTGCTTCGTCTACCCGTGACGCAGAACCACAGACATCTCCCCCCGCCAATGGTGCGATGAAAGAAGGATGTGGACGGCAGAATGGAATGAAATTGTCTTTACTGACGAGTCACGCTTTTGTCTGCAACATCACGATGGTCGGATTCGAGTGGAGAGAGCATGCTGAACAGCTGCGTCACGCTACGCCGCACTGGTCCTGCACTGGGTATTATGGTATGGGGCGGTATTGGATATCACTCTCGCACTCCTCTAGTATGCATTGCCGGTACTTTAAATAGCCAACGCTACATCTCTGAGGTGTTGGAGCCAGTTGTCCTTCCTTACCTTCAGGGCTTGCCCACAGCCATATTTGAACAGGATAATGCGCGACCACACGTGGCATGCATTCATTGTCCAAGGGTTCTTCATCAATCACCAGATTGAATTGCTTCCCTGGCCGACTCGCTCTCTGGATCTCTCGCCGATAGAAAACATGTGGTCCATGGTTGCTGAACGATTGGCCCAGATTACATCCCAAGCTGCCACACCAGATCAACTTTGGCAACATGTGGGGCTGCTTGGTCTGCTGTACCCCAAGAACACATCTAAAGTCTCTTTGAATCAGTGCCGAGGCGTGTGGCAGTGGTGATCTCCAACAATGGCGGCTACTCTGGCTACTGATTCTCGAAGGAACCACACTTCACAGAAGTCTATAAATTTAATCATTTGATACTTGGTTAACATGTTATCTACTAAATAAATTTTGTTGTGATATCTCTTGTCTTTCTTGGTGTTGCAATTTGGATGACCAGCAGTGTATATATAATTAAAGAAAGGAGAACAAACTAGAAAAGACCTTTGTGCTCAAAAATTTTGCGTATTGAGCTGTAAAAATTAGAAAACAAGGTAAAAAGAAAATTCTTAATGAAAATTATCAATTATGTCGCTTAAAAGTCATTGCGATACTGTGGTTCCGATGAAAAAATTTTTTAACATAAGTTAAAATAAAGTGCAATGAAAAGTGTAAATACTAAATAAACGAAATTATCACTAGAATACTTACAAATAAAAAGCGTATTTAAAACTCAAATCGTATTGGAAGTAATATGTTGATTAAAGTTAAGACAAACTTTAAACATTTGAATAAAAATACAATTATGGTATAAAGCGTAAGCAAAAATACAAAAATAACAAAAAAGCAGTAAATGGTAAATTAGCCCAATTTGAATCTCATTAATGACTCTTCAGGGGAAATACATAATGGTTTTCGAATCCAGCTAATTCCATATTGCGTTTCGTCAAAATAGAAAATTGAAATTGTACACGAAACTTTTTGAATATTTAACTGAAAAAATAACCTAGATAAAAACTTTAGTCTCAATTTCTCTGTTTCATTTCCCGACGCGTCCGCTTTTAAAAGTAAATGAAAAACACATTAATGGTGTAAGAAAAAAGTATACAAACTGGCCTGGTTAGGCAAATGTACAAAATAAAATAAATAGCAAATTGCTATTATTTAAGATTTTTAGAGAGGACCTACTAGCTTAAAGAGTTTAAACTTTGTAAACGAAGGGAGAAAATTGAAATTTAAATAAAAAGCAAAAAAATTGGGTTTTGTTATGACCAAATGTTAAAACAAGGGAAAGAAAATTTTTTTATAAAAAAGCAGACCTTGATCGGTGACATCTACTGTGAAGAGCCAAGTTTATACAAATGGATGATTGCCTGCAGAAAAGATAAGAAAGTAGCTAACCAACGAGGCAGGATGATGTAAAAGGGGAAGAAACGTCATGAATAAAGAGCCAATGAAAAGTGACAGATGGTTGGCACAATCTGACTCCGTGTGAGAGGGGGTGGTAATCTATTGAAGAAGGAAGAAATTGTTCAAGATGGTGTCTTGCTCGACATAGCTTTAAGTAAGTTGGGATGAAGTGAAAAACAAAATGGCTAATTACTTTAAATAGTAAATACTATCTTTTAAAATAATGTGATAACCACCATCATTATATTCTGCTTTTTGATGTTCTGTTAAATTATGAACGACTCAATAAATAACTTATTCTTTCATATGGATTCTGCATGAATAATTTTATATATAGCTGTGGATCCAATGCTAAGTTCCTTCTGTATCATTTAGTAGGTACGGCAATTATCATTTGTAGCCCTTGAAATCATTCTTGATTTAGCCCCACTTGAAAGTCGTAGCATAATGATTCTCTCATAACAGCTCCAATTTGATTTCTTCTATCATAGAATTATAGTCTGTGATAAATGAATTGGAGTTGTTGCCACAAATTATCGTCTGCAGACGTAAGAGTTCAAGTTTACATATCCAATAAATAATTTTTTAGCATATATTATTTGCCTCTGTCTAAAAAATTTCAGGTTATCTATGCATATCCATGTATTCTAAATCATTGCTTAACATGATAATGTTCTTTGTGCATTGGAATTCAGAATTGAAAGCTCATCTGGTGCTGCAATTTAAGCTTGGGAAATATATCAGCTTTGATTACATTCATAAATGTTATTTCTTCTACAATAAATTTGAAATCAAATGATTAAAAATTTCAATAAATGACTTAATGAAATAAAAATCTAGTTTCTAAGGAAAAACTATTTATTTTCATTTTTAATATGTCCCTCCTTTTTTTTTTAAAATCTTTTCAAAGTTTTTATTTTTTTTAATATATATATATACATTAATCTAATTACTGTAATTTATTCTTAATTTCAAAATTTTATTTATGTCACTTAGAAAGGAAAACATCTGTGATTTAAATTGAACCTTTACGTTCATGCATTTTAGGTAATATATATACAGTATTACCAAGATGTGTTATGACTGCTAATGATGATGAGATGCTTCAGGTTATGTTATTATTGTATCATTCAACAGATACATGATTGATATACTCGTTTGTATGTTGTTATTCAAATTTGATATTTGACTTCACTGCTGAGCTAGACAATATACCTGCTGTTACCTGTTGTCAGTTTCTTTTTTTTGTTCAGTACTTTTAACAGAAAAGTATAATCATTCTTTTTGGAAATTTTAATTTTAAGGGTTTTTTTGGGGGTATAACAGATATAATATTCTTAAAATTATTAATAAATTACTGTGCATCTTCTCTATAAAATACATATTCTTTCACCTTAGATTGAAGAATTATTTACTTCAACAAAAGATGAACTTTACAAGATGAGTGTAAAACTGGATAAAACTCATAAAATGTACGAAAAAACTGCTACCGAACTTTCTAGCAAGACTGATGCATTGAACTATACACGAAAGGTAGTGGGTGTTTTTATTATTATTTTAAAAAATTAACATGTTAAAAAAGAATATTTGGTTTTAACTCTTTCTTTTATAGGTTCTCAGTGAAACAACGCTGCAGAGAGATGAAAATCAGTATTTAATTGGCATTCAAAAAATTACTGAAAAAGAAGCTATCACAACAAGCACAAGTGGTAAGAAAGATTAAAATTGAACATCATGATTAAATTTATTCAATTGCATTCGTTGGAGAAGGAATAACTGTATTATTATATTGTTTTAGTTATTACAAGTTGCAGATCAGACAACTAATGATGTGAGTGGACTTCATGCTAAACTTGAGCGAAAACAAATGGTGGAAAACTAATGAAGAACGATGTCAAGATTTTAGAATGATGTATCAAAAACAGTTTGCTAAATTGGAAGATATGGTTTCAAATGCTGAAAAGGAACAAATTGAAAATCTTCAAAGTATTAAAGAGGATTTAGGTAACTTTTATTTTTTAATAAATCATTACTTTCCTGTTGCTTCTTTTTATCATAAGATGGCTGCTCTTCGAAGTATTATCTTCTAATTTGCAACTGGTCAAAAATCTAGAAGCTGTAATGTTTTTGCATTGCTATGCAACCAAATAAATATCACATGCGAAAAGTCCTCGTGCTTGAAAGATGCATTCAAGATTCTCGTGATGGAAGTGTTTTAGTTTTCTTCAAGTTTGAAAAATAAAAAGTTTGGCCAAGATGGTGAAATTTCTTTAAAAACTACACTACGCACTAAAAGATATCTGGTGGCAGCCTTTAAAAACAAAAGGGATATAGGACACATGAGATGTAGCCTTTTTATGAATACAGCAAAATTTTCCATGAAAATGTTTCAACTTATTACTGAATTCAACTAATAGTATGATATTCTAAATTTAAGCTTTTGTATTCAAGTAGCATTTGGGGGGGGGCTCTTGTATTAAAGTCCAGGGTTCGTACGGTCCTGAAAAGTCCTTAATTTTTAATCATCTGAAATTTCTGTCTAGCTTTTACTACTGCTGCTTTTCATTATAGAGGAATATTTTTGACAATTCAGTGATAAATATGATTATCTTTTGAGTGAGTTCATGGGTTATAATTTGTTCCTATTTCTAAAGTAAGGGGTGGGATACTGGATTTTCTGAGCAAGGAGTCAAACAAAAGCATTTCAAAATTATTTCATTTTTTTCTAATTAAGAGCATTTAACCCGTTCACGACAGGCACCTATCTTGGGACAGCGTGTTAACCGGATGCGTCGTCTTGTGGGGACGGGCAAGTCGCGCTGCTAAGCCTAACTTTGGAAAAAAATTCGTATAAGTTAAATTTCTCATCCAATTGTTCCAATTTTTGGGACAATTTTTGAGAAGAACATTCAGGTAGTTGTCAGAATTAATTTTAAACCTTTATTGTTATATTTATAAAATAATCATTCTAGAATAATATAATTTTTCCTTTATCTCACAATTAAATATATATAGAAAAATATCCAAACAATCGCAGATTTTATTTAACACAACATATAATTAAAATTAAAAAATATTAAAACTCTTTCATAAAAATTCAATGTGAAAACAAAGAAAAAGAAGCAATATTTCAAAAAAGACAGTATATGATATTCTTTGAAACATGGATGTACACTAAGTGCAACGTTGCAAGTATCACAGGAATAGAATATCAGCAAATTTGACTCATTTAGCATTTGTGTATCTTCTACGGTCAGATAGCGCTGTTTTGCCATAAGAAAAAGAAGGGGGGGAAAATGTTTGGTAAGCCATACAAAATATCCGTCTCAATGCCAGAAAAATCTAACAGTAATAAAAAAGTCTCTAATGATAAAACATCTACTCTGCTATAGGGGGATAAAAAAAATAAATAAATTCAATTAAAAAGTGTTCCAGATCATCGAGAACATGTTCATTTGTTTATATGAAATGACACAGTAAGAACCATCACCTTACTCAACACCTACGAATTAGCATTTGTGTATATTCTTCTACGTTCAGATACCTATATCGCAAAAATAAAAATAAAAAGTACCTCAGAGCATCGAGAACACGTACATTTGTTTATATCAAATGACGCAGTTAAAGAGACATTACATTGCTCAACACCCACCCAGGAATCTCCCTCTCATTCCGAAACAAAATACCAAAAATAAAAAACATTGCATAGGAATGAAGGTACACATAACTTTTGATATATTTCCCCATAACAGATATACAGCTACATCTAGTGGCAACAAAAAATACTAATTAAACGTTCTATCTAAAAAGTCATATGTGGTACGCGTGGCCATACAGTGAATTAAATGGCGATTCAAATATGACACACCTGGCTGTGTGGTAATGTTCTCTGCTGATGCATATATGACACGCCTGTACCGACCGGGTTAAGCAACTATTCTGCTTTTGGGGATGTGAATTCTTTCATTAATCAGCTCTAAATTTGGTGACTTATCCAACATATTGGTGATTTTAAGATTAATTTCTATAAAAAAAATTTTAATTCGGAGATCTGGGAATTTTTTGACAATTTTTTTCAGTATAACAATTGATAAATTTAACTAAAATAATGGTAATATATTTAAATTACATTTAAGGGATAAAATTAAAATAAAACATTTTTATTTTCTTTTGCTGTCATATTATAAAGTGGCATTACTTTCCATTTTGGCGACTTGTAATATAGTATTTTAATCTGAAATATAAACAAGGTAATAAATGCTGTAAAGCACTGTTTACAAAACAATTCATTGCAAAAGCAAAAGAGCTATGTAATTAATTAAAAATTTCTTCCTTTTAATTTTTTCATGGTAAGAATTTTTCCCGTGTAATTGTCTCAGAATATGTGTCAGTTTTCTCTATAAAATTATTTTTCCACTGATCACCCCCCCCCCCCCAAAAAAAAAAAAAATATTTCTAGCCCTTTTTCTCTTGCAGAATTGGTATGGCTAATTTTTCTTTAGGATTTTAAACGTTGCAACTTGGAAAGTTTAGAAGGATTTGAAGGCAAGATTTACAGACCCAGAATTCTAGAAGGCTCCAGAAAAAATTGGCAAAATGAAAATGTCTTCATTGTATTAACACATAATGGATGTATTTTACAGAAAGTTTGTGTTGAATTTCTCACATTTTGGGGAATTTTTGGAAGGACAATGAAAACATAATGTTTGAATATTGAACTTCTGATACTAGAAGTCTTTTCCTTAACATGTTTATTTTCTCAACTTTTCACTAGACACAAGTATGGAAAATATCAAAAATGTTTTTAATCTTTTCGCATGGACAGGCATTTATAAAAAAAAATTTCTCTATTAATAAAGAAATTGAAAACCGACAATTTAAAAGATTCACCTTATATGTCCCAGTGGATGGATCATACACAGGGCTGACGCAAGGCATTTTACCACCTGATACAATCTCTGGAACTTAAATTCTGCTCCCACTGCCTGTCCTAAATTCTAAAAATTCTGCCCCATCGGCCCTGAAACCAGCCCCTTACTATACATCATTTCATATTTATCAGTTTTTTTTTTTTTTTTTTTAAATTCTAAATGCATTTGGTTTTTTAGAATAACAGAAATCTTTAACCCTCTAAGTGGCAAGGCCGTATATATATATAAATATATGGCCTAGAATATTTTTTGTGATATCTGTAAGAACGTATATATACGTGCATATTAAAATATATCAAAGAAATTAAGGCAATATATCACACACAATCCAGGTATGAAATATTAGGAGAGTTTTTACTATGAAATCAAAAGCATAATTTGTTCTCATAGTAGTTTTGGGAAATTTGTGCTTTCTTAGCGAATACATCTGATTCCAACCAAATCATACAATCGTATAGATTACAATCATGTACAGGCTTAGACAAGAATATGGAAACACCAAAATAAGAAACACATTGCTATGAATAATACAATGTAGAAAAATGTTGGCATTTAAAACAACTTAGTTCTTTTTCTCCTTCCATGAAATAAATGAGGATGGGTTATCTTAAAATTGGTATCTCCTTCTCAACAACATTCTGCAGAAATTTTTACTTAAAAACCTTTGACTTGGTTATAGTTTTGGAAGGTTTGAAAAATCTTTGAAGTTTTTAAACTGTGGGATAAAATGTAGATATGAAGCATGGATAAACAAAATGAGTATAATTGTTATATTAAATTGTATTTTAATAATGATACTGTTCCTTCAACTTATGCATGTACTTTGTTACACTAACGCATGCCAGAGAACAGTGGTATTACTCTTTTCAGTTACAGTGCCATTTATAGTTATTGGGATTTTTTTTTCTGAAACTTTACTTATTAATTTCCATTTGCAATATCTGCATATTTTCAGGATAATAAGAATGCTTATAAATTTTATGAAAATGTCTTAAGTATAATATTTTAAAAGAAGTTTATATTTTCATTTTATCAAATCAGTATTTTGTGTAAAGTATTTTTCTTCATTTATTTTCTATTGATGAATTTTCGATTTAACTATTGATTTTTCCCCTATATATGAAATAACTTTTTTAAGATTTTATAATCGTGAAGTTTTCAATTTTTAACTTGATTTAATTTTTAATGTGACCACATTTTGAATTTTTTCCCCTTTCAGATATTGCTATACATGGTTTCCAAGAGTATCAGCAACAATCAGTTAAATGTTTAACTGATTTGCTTGATTATCATAAGATTAATATGAGTAATCTATCATCACACATGAAAGCTGAAGCAGCAAATGATATGCAGTGGGGTGATTGCTTGCTTGAAAAAATAAAATGTAAAAAGGTACATAATTTTCTCATTAACGCAATAATTATTTCTGATGCTTCCAAAAAAAATTAACTTATTTATATTATTTGACTATCTTCTTTTATGAAAATTTTAAAATAAATTTTTAAGAAATGTTGTTTTACTTAACATTTAACTCCCTCCCTACATCAATCATTATTTGATGCTCAGTCCTAAGTTATCATCATTTAATGCTCACACCTAAGCTATCAATTCACTACACTGATGGTAGGTAAAATGTCTTTGTGATTGATTGATTTGTGAAAGTTCTTGATAATATCTTTAGTATTCTGATTGGTGAGAATCATCTAACAAGGCAAGGGTTGTTAATCATCTGAAATAGGAAATAAAACTGTTTTCATCTGATTAATATGTGGATTTTTCACATGTCTTAGTCTCAAGTAATCAAACACCAATATTTCATACTTAACTAATATTATAATAAACAATATTTATTATTAGAACAGGATGACAAAAAGTTATTTATACTAAATTTTTTATTTGATAAAATGTTTTTTCTAATTTTATTGGATTGGGTTTAAATGATGGATTTCTGTTCTAAAAAGGGTCGTGCTTAATCCTAATTATGTTAGCATCATAATATGCAGATATCCAAAATTTAGTTTCTTATAGAAAGAACACTCTCAGCAAGCATTTCCTTTTGTAATATTTTGTAAATAAAGATTTATCATCATTATACATTAATATGTTGGTTTCTTTTTGTTGTAATATATTTCTGCAATTGTTATTGCCTTTTTTTTCATAAAGATTTTATTTATCAGCTCTTTGTACTTTCATGCATATGGGGAAAAGTGAAAATGAATTAATGAAATAAACAGTTTTCATTAAATATAATTTGATTGCATTATTTGTTAATAATAAGGATAAATATTCTTATTACATTTATATGAAAAGGGAAGTTATCAAAATTAGACAAACTGTCCATCCCCTTTCCTGTATTGTTTTTCTTTTAAACAAATTACAATTCCATGAATTTTTGTTAATTTATTTCTCTAGAACTAAGCATTCTTGTTTAAGTATTGATTTGAAATTTGTAAACATTTCACTGTATATAAAAGATCAGTGTTTAACTCTTTGCTTCTTATTGCCTCATTAAGGTAGTTTTCAATATTTAAACTAATTTATTGAATGTTTTATTTAAATTAAATAATCATAAATATGGGCTAAGAATGTATGCACATAAAAATTAAAAAGAGCTGAAACTATTTCAAGCATATTGTCTGGATGGCAGCATTGCTGGATTAAAAAATTTATCCTTCTCCCACATATTAATAAGAAAAATTGATAAATGGGATGAATGGTTAAAGTTATAAAGACAGGTGTCAGTAATGCAGTGCATGCCATTTAATTAATCATCTGAATTTTAGATATTTGGACCGCAAACACTCATAATTGTAATGAATAATTTTAATAAAAATTTCTATCTTATTTCCACCATTTTAAAAACTGTATGAGTCGTAAAATTAAAATTTGACAAAAACTTAATGACATCTAGATATCAGGCATATATAAATGATGTGTGACAATTTTCAAGAAGGCATTTTTAGCTATAATCATTATGATATCATTTTAATTAATATACATAGGAAAATGACTAATTACACAAATCTTAATGCTAAATCAGTGTAAAAACAACAAATTATGAATAACCATTGTTTGGTATAAAATGCAATGAGTTACGAGAGATAATGGCGCTGGTTCCAAAATAAAACTAACTAAGTTAGGCCACAAAAATATTTAATTATTTACATAATGTACAAAGTTACAAGTTAAGTGCTCCATTAGCACAGACAAAGTGGAACGAGCGAACGCACCATAGATCCACTGCGTACATTCAACAACCAACTCCACAAAATTTGGCTCCTCTCACAAGAGGGCGCTATATTAAAATGAACATTCCAGCCCCCATTGAAACAAGTTTCAATAATGCCATAAAATTTTTACAATCAAATTCAAATTTAGACATACATATGAAATGCAATTTAACACAAATTATTTCAATTACAATTAAATTCAGTATCATATAATAAGAAATAAAAATATCACACATAAAAATATTACACTTACACTAAATGAATAATGTAATAATGTCCATTCATAATATGGAAATTTTTTATATCTGATAGTTGTCTGGTATGGGCAAAAAACTTACAGTGTGTGACAGGCCTTTTAAAGAGACCCTTTGCCGTGCTTACACTAACTACTCTAACTCTTTTATCCAATCCGGGTATGACTTCTTCAACTCGACCTAAAACCCAGTGACAAATAGGCAAATTTTCTTCCTTCACGAGCACCCTAGTTCCTGATTTAAAGTTATCTTTTTTAAATTGCCATTTCGTTCTCTCATAAAATTACGATAAATAATCAATATTTTAAGTCATTTTGGTGACTCCATCTAGACAATCTGTTGTCAGACTTATTTATAATTTCTGGTTCTACAGGGGCTGTTATAGAACGGCCAATTAAAATGTATCCAGGCGTTAACACATTAAAATCCCTTGCATCTGAAGAGAGAGGTGAAATTGATCTGGAGTATTCCCTCTAGTTGTGTTACTAAAGTTAAAAATTCTTTCATAGTTAATTTTGAATTCCCAACCGTTTTTTTTTAAATCTGTTTTGAACGATTTAACTCCCGCCTCCCAAAGCCCACCAAAATGTGGAGCTCTGGAGGGTATAAATTTCCACTCAATTTCCTCTGACAACAAATAGTCGAATGATCCTTGCTCTGGTACTGTGGCTAATTTAAACAGCTTGCTTAATTCATTTCGAGCTCCACGAGAGTTTGTAGCATTATCGCTAAACATGGTTGAGCTTTTCCCTCTACTAGCAAAAAATCTCTTTAGGTTAGCAATTAATGCTTCCGAAGATAAGTCTGAGACAATTTCTAAGTGAATTGCTTTTGTAGCAAGGCACACAAATACTGCAACATACATTTTTAGAAAAACTCCTTTTCTTTGATTTTTTGCCTTTATAAGAAACGGACCGCAAAAATCGAGTCCACATTTGTTAAAGGTTGATTCAACTGACACTCGTTCAGCAGGCAGATCACCCATTATCTGATATATTGGTACAGGTCTGTGTTTGAAACACTGTACGCATTCGTGTACTATTTTTCTAGCAAGATTCCTGCCGCTGATGGGCCAAAATTTTTGTCTCACAGTACTCAATAGAGCTTCCGGTCCAAGATGCAAGTATTTCATATGATAATAGTACATGATCAAATAAGTCAACCTATGCCTAGCTGGCAAAATGATTGGATATTTACAATCATAGCTTACCTGAGATTGTGCAAGTCTGCTACCAACGTGCAAGATTCCATCATTATCGACGAATGGATTTAACGATTTAAGCTTGATCCTACGAGGTACCTGGCTATCCCTCTTAAGTGAATATCAGTATAAAACCTTTTGCACTTCCCGAATCAATGTCAACTCGGCCTTTTTCCGTTCCTCTAAGAATATAGGCTGTGAAACCCTTTCCTTATTCTTAATGATTCTGAAGAACCTAAAAATAAAACTACAAATTTTGATTAGTTTCATATAATTATTTGTTCTATTTAAGTGAGAGGCTAAACTGTAATTATTTTCTAATATTGCAAAATTAGAGTCTGATAAACATTTCAGTTCCTTGGCATACTCATTATTGGTGGTAGGCCCAAGAGGTTGTTCTGAATAATGCATGTCCTCACGGAGAAGGTCTGGTCCATTCCACCAGATATCACACGTAAGAATGTCACTGGCATCCAGTTCACGCGATATGACATCAGCTGGGTTACATTCAGATGGCACATATTTCCATTGGTATGACCCCGTAAGGTCTTGTATTAAAGCGACTCTGTTACTCATGAAAGTTTTTAGTAAGTGTGATGATTTTCTAATCCAAGCAAGAAAAATTGTAGAATCAGACCAAAGAATTAATTTTTCTACTTTACATTCAACGAAGATATCACTTTATCCATCAATCTGGATAACAAAAGGCAACCTGACAGTTCCAATCTAGGAATTGATAAGGTTTTTATAGGTGCAACTCATGACTTGCTACACAAAAGTCGAGCGGTTGGTAATCCTGAAACTGGTAAAGCTTGAACATAGATTACAGAACATAGAACATACATTACATGACGCATCTACAAATCCATGGCGATGTGTCATTCCAATCGAGTTTAGCAAGCCAGAACTTTTGTATGAATATTTTGGCCTTTGTGACCACTGGCCCAATTAAACCAAGTGGATCGAACATTTTCGAAATTAGTGACAGAACATCTCATTTACTATAACTGTTAGAGTGAGGAATGGTCATTGTAAACAAAAAACAGTCAATCTGAGGATTCCATAGGACACCAAGAGTTTTTACGGGCGAAGATTCCTGTTGCTCTGCAAAAGTGTATTCTGAATGAGCGGTAACCTTATTTTCAGACACAAGAAGATCTGGATGATTTGCACGCCATTTATGCAATTCAATTTTCCCTAACTTTAATAAATCTATTAATTGGGATTGAAGAATTCTAGCTTTTTCGAATGATGATTCTCCAGAAAGTATGTCGTCGACATAGAAGTCAGTAAGAGCGACGGACGATGCTAGAGGTAAGTGGTAAGTTTTGGCTTTCATGTGTAGCTAACTGTTTAAGAGCTCAAGTTGCTAGATAGGGAGCGTTTGACATCCCATACGTTACTGTGTTGAGCTTTTAAGTTTGCACTGGTGCATCAACACTGTCTTTCCATAGAATTCTGAGCAGGGTCTCTTTGTGGAGGATGGACTAGAATCTGTTGATACATTTTTTGTACATCTGCTGTGAAGGCGTAGTGGTGTTTTCTAAATCTAACCATTATAGAAAATAATTCCTGCTGTTGAATTCTGCCCTTCGACAAAATATCGTTTAATGGCAATCCCGATGTAGTGGCAGTGGAGGCATTAAAAACCACTCTTGAACGTGCTACTTTTGTCTGGTCTGTAAACCCCATGGTAAGGCAGGTAGG